GGAAAAGCGCCCCCAGCCACACCTCCGGGGGCGCAGTGGCTCTGCCCGCACCCACAGTGACGCCTGCCCGGTGGGGAAAAGCGCCCCAGCCACACTTCCAGGGGCGCAGTGGCTCAGCCCCTACCCACAGTGACGTCTGCCGGGTGTGGAAAAGCGCCCCCAGCCTTCAGCCCCCGCCTTCGCATTCCTTCTTTCCACACTTCCTCTCCTCAGGGTCCGCACCGCACCCCTTCTCCTGCTAAAGCTGTTGCCCCTGTTTATAGAAGAAGAATCAGCCCCTCAAGTGCTTTTGTCCTTGACTCTGGCATGTGGAAAGAGCCAGGGAGCAGGGGACCTCGCCCTGGGGCTCCAGCAACCCTTCCTGTCCCTCTGCACCTGCTCCTTAGGGTCGCAGCTCCTGGCTTTTCCTGACCGCTGAGATGCCCGAGTTCCAGGCACAGGTGTCCTTCCTTGGGCCGCAGTTGATTTGTCTGCCAATGGGGTGGTCACAGCTGTCAGCTTCCCTCTCTAAGGCCATTGCTTTGGACCCTTCAAGTGAAAGGGGCTGTTGACCTGATGCCTGATGAAGGGAACCCTGCAAGCATGAGGTCTGGGTTCCAGTCCCTTCTGGCCCTCATTAGCTAGAAATTCACTTCTCTCTCAGTGCCCTGCAAGCTTCTGGATTATGGGGGAGGAAGGGGGGAGGGCCTAGACTTTGGAGCCAAATAGACTTGGTTTCTGTACCAGTCACTCCAGCCCTCTGAGCCTCTTTCTTCATTTGTAAAATAGGGGTAACACTGCCCACCTCATAAAAGGGCGTAATAACATATGTCCAGTCTCTAGCACAGGGCCGAGCAACAGGAGGTGCTCAATAAATAGTGGCTAAGCACACAGTACCACTATTTCTATTTTGGGGGCTGAGGCAGGAGGACTGCTGGAGTCCAGGAATTCCAGACCAGCCTGGGCAACATAGTGAGACTCCGTCTCTACAAAAAAATTTTGAAAATTACCCATGTGTGGTGGCATATACCTGTAATCTCATGGGAAGCAGAGGCAGGAGAATCCCTTAAGCCCAGGAATTTGAGGCTGCAGCGCGCATGATCTCACCACTACACTCCAGCCCAGGCAACAGTGAGATCCAGTCTCAAAATACAAAAAAACCTGCAGGCATGGTGCCTCATGCCTGTAATTCCAGCACCTTGGGAGGCCGAGGCAGGCAGATCACCTGAGGTCAGGAGTTCAAGACCAGCCTGGCCAACATGGTGAAACCCCATCTCTACTAAAAACACAAAAATTAGCCATGTGTGGTGGTGGGCACCTGTAGTCCCAGTTATTTGGGAGGCTGGGGTAGGAGAATAACTTGAACCCGAGAGGTGGAGGTTGCAGTGAGCCAAGATTGCACCACTGCACTCCAGCCTGGGCGACAGAGTGAGACCCCATCTAAAAAAAAAAAAAAAACAAACAAAAAAACAGCTACTAGGAAGGCTGAGGCAGGAGAATTGCTAGGACCAGGGAAGCAGAAGTTGCAGTGAGCCAAGATCACGCCACTGCACTCCAGCCTGGGCAACAAGAGCAAAATTCCATCTCAAAAAAAAACACACAAGCCACAAAACCCCCAAAACTGATATTTCCCACGTGCATTCGACCTTGACTGTTGCTCATTCAACCCAGCCCAACTCAGTGCCCCATCCCCTGGCCCTGAAGAGACCATTCTGGCCCAGCTGTGTCCTGGCTTGGAGTAGCACGTTCTGCTACCACACTGGGCCTCTCCTCTCCTCAGTGCCCAAGGGGAGGCCCCTCACTCTGATCTCCTGGTGGGGTCCTATTCTGCCTGCCAGTAAGGGAAGGAGCCTGGTCTTAGAGCTGAGTGGCTTGCCCTCTCACCAGTCCAGCCCTCCAGGTGACCTCAGCTTGCCCCAGGCCCTCCTGTAGGTTGGCACTAATCGGTTTGGCTGTGGCCCCGCTTATTAAGTACTTGTTGTTTTTACTAACATCCCAGGCAGGGTGGCCCAGGAACCCCCTGGGGGAGGTGGTGCCAGGCTCCTGGCTGATGGGCAGGCTGCCTCCAATTATGACTGGCTGGCGCCAGTGATCAGGACCAGGGCCCCACGTGGCACTTTCCTGGAGATCTAGGCTTCTTGGAGCAGCCGTGGGGTAAGGAGCAGGACCAGCTCAAAAGACTGGTGGGGGCGGAGGCTGCCTCTGCAGGGCAGAGTCCTTTGGCAGCCAGGGCTGTTGGGCATGGAGAGGTCAGCTCACAGCTCAGGACCAGCGCACTGCAGAGGTCTCTGGGGTGCACACAGGAATCAGGAGTGGAGCTGAAGCACTCCTATCCCCTGTCAGCCCTCCCCTAGTAACAGCTGACATTTCCCAAGTCCTTCCTGAGCACCAGCCATCGTGTTATGTATGCAGTTTGCAAGTGTTATCTGATTGAATGCTCACAACAAGGCTATCAGATAGGTATTATTATCCTTAACTTATTATTATTTTTGAGAGTCTTCCTCTGTCACCCAGGCTGCAGTCAATGACATCATCTCTGCTCACTGCAAACTCTGCCTCCAGGATTAAGCGATTCTCCTGCTTCAGACTCCCAAGTAGCTGAGACTACAGCTGCCCACTGCTGCGCCTGGCTAATTTTTATATTTTTAGTACAGATGGCCAGGCTGATCTTGAACTCCTGACCTCAAGTGATCCACCCGCCTGGGCCTCCCAACCCTGAGGTTTAACAATAGGCCCCTGCCGGGCACGGTGGCTCAAGCCTGTAATCCCAGCACTTTGGGAGGACGAGGCGGGTGGATCACGAGGTCAAGAGATCGAGACCATCCTGGTCAACATGGTGAAACCCCGTCTCTACTAAAAATACAAAAAATTAGCTGGGCATGGTGGCGCGTGCCTGTAATCCCAGCTACTAAGGAGGCTGAGGCAGGAGAATTGCCTGAACCCAGGAGGCGGAGGTTGCTGTGAGCCGAGATATCGCCATTGCACTCCAGCCTGGGTAACATGAGTGAAACTCCGTCTCAAAAAAAAAAAAAAAAAACAATAGGCCCCAGGCCAGGTGATTAACAGAGATCTGGCGCATTGCAGGGGGACAGAGGAAAACATATGTCCCCATTGGCCACCGTAGACTCCCTTCCTCACAAAGGACGCCAGTGCAGTGACATGCCCACCTCTACCCCACCCTCCCTCCCAGTCCTTGGCGATCTGGGCACTAGGGTTGCTCCCCAGGTGTTCTATACCCTCCCCAATCTGTCCCATGCCCTGGCCTCTGCCCCTTTTCAAAACATAGATGTGGCCGGCACCGGAAGCTGAGGCTGGAGGATTGCTTGAGCCCAGGAGTTCAAGACTAGCCTGGGCGACATAGTGAGACCCTGACTCTACAAAATTAAAAAAAAATTTTAATCTGGGTGTGGTGGCACATGCCTCTAGTCCCAACTACTGGGGAAGCTGAGGAGGGAGGATTGGTTGAGCCCAGGAGTTTGAGACTGCAGTGAGCTATGATGGGGCCATTGCACTCCAGCCTGGAGTGAGACCCTGTCTCTAAAAAAGACTTTAGGCCAGGCGCGGTGGCTCAAGCCTGTAATCCCAGCACTTTGGGAGGCCGAGGCGGGTGGATCACAAGGTCAAGAGATCGAGACCATCCTGGTCAACATGGTGAAACCCCGTCTCTACTAAAAATACAAAAAATTAGCTGGGCATGGTGGTGCGTGCCTGTAATCCCAGCTACTCAGGAGGCTGAGGCAGGAGAATTGCCTGAACCCAGGAGGCGGAGGTTGTGGTGAGCCGAGATCGCGCCATTGCACTCCAGCCTGGGTAACATGAGTGAAACTCCGTCTCAAAAAAAAAAAAACAAAAAAACTTAAAAAAAAATGTTTAAAGAACAAAACTGGCCAGGCACCATGGCTCATGCCTGTAATTCCAGCACACTGGGAGGCCAAGGCAGGTGGATCACCTGAGGTCAGGAGTTCAAGACCAGCCTGGCCAACATGGTGAAACCCTGTCTCCACCAAAAATACAAAAATCAGCCATGTTTGGTGGCAGGTGCCTGTAATCCCAGCTACTTGGGAGTCTGAGGCAGGAGAATCGACTTGAACCCGGGAAGCAGAGGTTGCAGTGAGCTGAGATTGTGCCACTGCACTCCAGCCTGGGCAACAGAGCGAGACTCCATCTCAAAAAAAAAAAAAAAAAGAACAAAACGTAGATGTCTACATATCATCTCTCTGCCCTTCGCTCCTGGGAAATAAGGGGTTACCCAGTGACCTCCTAGAAGGGCAGTGACAATGGAGGGTGCCAGGGTGCTCTTCAGAGCTGAGGGAGTGGTAGGAATTGGGATCTTAGTCTTGCTCCAAGCTGTGAGGGGGAGTTGCAAGGTATCATGCTTGGTGGAGACCAGAACCAAGCCCAGAGGCCCCGGTGGAACAGGGGTGAACAGCATGGGTTGTAACTTCAGACTGGGCTGCAGCCCTGGCTCACCCACCCTGAGTGAGGGCAGACTGCATGCCTCTCTGTGCCTCAGTTTCCCCGTCTCCATAATGGAATTGTATTGGTACCTACCCCAGAGGGTTGTGTCAGCAATTAGGATGGCACCTGGCACCTTGGCCAGTCACAGGAAAGGTTCCAGAAGCTCTGCTGTGGTCCCAGGGGTGCCTCGGGCCCTGCCACCATCTCCTTGGAGTGGTGTCATCTGGTGGGAAAGAAACCCCAACTTCAAGGCCAGATGCAGTGGCCCATGCATGTAACCCCAGCACTTTGGGAGGCGAGACAGGATGATCACCTGAGGATCACCAGCCTGGCCAACATGGTGAAACCCCGTCTCTACTAATAATACAAAAATCACCCGGGTGTGGTGGTGGGCGCCTGTAGTCCTAGCTACTCAGGAGGCTGAGGCAGGAAAATCTCTTGAACCCAGGAGGCAGAGATTGCAGTGAGCCGAGGTCAAGACAGTGCATTGCAGCCTGGCCGACAGAGCAAGACTCTGTCTCAAAAAAAAAAAAAAAAAAGAACCCAAACTTTGGTGTCCAGCCACATTTCCACGCTCACTCCCAGGGTGACTCCGGGAAGGTCTCGGCCTCCTTGTCTGCCCAGTTAGAATGATCTGATGCCCCTGCTACCGTCAGGCTTGATAAGTTTCCGGGGACTCTTTGCAAGAGGTACTGTTCTGGAGGGTGGAGAAGAGACTCATTGTTCCTGCTTTCCTGGCCAGAGCGGGAAGCTGTGGGGTGGCCGGTTTGTGGGTGCTGTGGACCCCATCATGGAGAAGTTCAACGCATCCATCACCTACGACCGGCAGCTGTGGGAGGTGGATGTTCAAGGCAGTAAAGCCTACAGCAGGGGCCTGGAGAAGGCAGGGCTCCTCACCAAGGCCGAGATGGACCAGATACTCCATGGCCTAGACAAGGTACTTCGGCCCAAACCCCACCCAAGGCCCCTCCCTGTGGCCCCAGGCTCCCACCAAATCCCTGAGCAAATAGTGCAGTGTTGCCCGTCTGTGGTTTCACACTGAACTAATTATGTACTTAAGTGCTGTTTAACTGTGTGCCTTGATGACCGCCTCTCTCCATCCTCTAATGACCTCTGTGGCCCACATGGCTCTTGGGTGAAGGCGTGCTGGGCCTGAGATGGCCCCTCCCAGGGTGGGCTTCCAGGACTCAGCTCCTGGACAGGCACAGTTAGTCATGAGGGATCGGGTGGGACCAGGGCAGGGGTTCTGGCTGCTGACACCTGCTCACCTGACCCCTGGCATTGCTGCTACCTGCTATAGGTGGCTGAGGAGTGGGCCCAGGGCACCTTCAAACTCAACCCCAATGATGAGGACATCCACACAGCCAACGAGCGCCGCCTGAAGGTACGACCCCTGCAGCCCCACCGCTTTCCTGGCCTCCCCTCTCTACCCAGTCCCGGGCCACTTTGAGCATTAGCACCATCGTTCTGTTTACTTCACCATTGGCAGACAGCAGCAGAAACCTCAGGACATGGGCCAGGTGCAGTGTCTCATGCCTATAATCCTAGCACTTTGGGAGGCTGAGGTGGGAGGATTGCTTGAGGCCAAGAGTTGAAGACCAGCCTGGGCAACATAACGAGGTTCTATAACTACAAAAAAAAAAAAAAAAAAAAAAAAGGGAACTAAAGGTCTCAGCAGAAATGGTGAGAGATTTGGGCAGGTCCCAGGGCCCTGGGGTAGGGAGGGAGGTTGGCAGGGCTGAAGAACCCTGCCCTGCCTGGGTGGACCCCTCTGGGCATATAGACTGTGACCCTGGGCCTCCCTTCACCTCCAGGAGCTCATTGGCGAAACTGCAGGGAAGCTGCACACGGGACGCAGCCGGAATGACCAGGTGCCTCTAGCCGCCCCCCGACCCTGCTCTGTGCTGTCCCAACCTCGGGGAGCCCAGGGGGCAGTCGGAGCTCAGTAGGGTCCTGGCTCCCCAGGGAAGCAACACGCCGGCCTCCTGAGCACCACATCCTCCTCACACAGGTGGTCACGGACCTCAGGCTGTGGATGCGGCAGACCTGCTCCACACTCTCGGGCCTCCTCTGGGAGCTCATCAGGACCATGGTGGATCGAGCAGAGGCGTGAGTCCCCCAGGGACACCCAGGGGACAGGGAGAGGTGTGATGGCAGCCTGAACAGCAGACCTAGGTGGCAAGGGTGAACAGGGTGGGGGTGCCAGGCCCTGCGGCACAGGGACACCCAAGAAATCCAGGATCAAGGTAGAGCAGCCAGGAGTGGGGCATTTCCTATGGGCCCCAATACTCCCATGCCAGTCTAGTTCAGCAGGCAGGGAAGACTCGCCCTTTGTGGGGCTGGGTGTGGTGGCACGTGACTGTAATCCCAGCACTTTGGGAGGCTGAGGTGGGTGGATCACCTGAGGTTAGGAGTTCAAGACCAGCCTGACCAACATGGTCAAACTCTATCTCTACTAAAAATACAAAAATTAGTTGGGTGTGGTGGTGTGTGCCTGTAGTCCCACCTACTCAGGAGGCTGAGGCAGGAGAATTGCTTGAACCTGAGAGACAGGTTGCAGTGAGCCAAGATCACACCACTGCATGGCAGCCTGGGTGACAGACCGAGACTCCATCTCAAAAAAATAAAATAAAATAAAAAGAAAGAAAACACAGCCGGGTATGGTGGCTCACACCTGTAATCACACCACTTTGGGAGGCCAAGGTGGGAGGATCACTTGAGGTCAGGAGTTTGAGACCAGCCTGGCCAACATGGTGAAACCCCATCTCTAAAAAAAATTAAAATAAAATAAATAAATAAATAAAAAAGAACAAAAACTCACCCTTTGAGGGTTTGAGGGCAGGAAGCTAAGGCACTAGCTTGGCTGTGCCTGGAGCAGCCAGAGTTACCCCCTACCCTGCCTGTTCCTCAGTCTTCCATCCCACACTCCAGGTCTCCACCCAGCCCATCTGGCACAAGACAGAGCCAAAGGCTGCCTCCTGCTGACTAATACCAGGCTTTGGCCTCTGGGACCTGGCGTCTTTGGATCTGGATTTGTTTCTTGCAGACCTGGATGAGGAGCTGCTGAGAATTCTCTATGTGTTGTCAGAGACCCCTCCTTTTCCTCAACTCCCTGTTACCCCTATTTCACACACCTGGAGGGAAGCAAAGGACACGAATTGTCACCCTGGAAATGGAGCTGGATTGCTAGAAGGAACAGGGAGTGTCTGCTACTGAGTTCAGTGTTTCTTTTTTCTTTTTTTGAGACAGAGCCTTGCTCTGTTGTCCAGGCTGGAGTGCAGTAGCATGATGTCAGCTCACAACCACTGCCTTTGGGTTCAAGTTATTCTCCTGCCTCAGCCTCCTGAGTAGCTGAGATTATAGGAGCCCGCCACCATGCCTGGCTAATTTTTTGTATTTTTAGTAGAGATGGGGTTTCACTATGTTGGCCAGGCTGGTCTTGAACTCCTGACCTCAAGTGATCCACCTGCCTTGGCCTCCCAAAGTGCTGGGATTATGGGGGTTCAGGGTTTCTTTAATTGTTTTTTTTTTTTTTTTTTTTAGACAAGGTCTCACTTTGTCACCTAGTCTGGAGTGCAGTGGTGCGATCTTGGCTAACAGGAAACTCTGCTTCTTGGGTTCAAGTGATTCTCAGCCTCAGCTTCCCAAGTCGCTGGGATTACAGGTGTGTGCTACCAGCACGTCCAGCTAATTTTTGTATTTTTTCCAGTAGAGATGGGGTTTGCCATGTTCGCCAGGCTGGTCTCAAACTCCTGAGCTCTGGTGATCTGCCCACCTTGGCCTGCCAAAGTGCTAGGATTACAGGCAGAGGCCAGCCTAATTTTAAATTTTTTTTTTTTTTTAGGACAAAGTCTTGCACTGTTGCCCGGGCTGGAGTGCAGTGGTGCGATCTTGGCTCATTGCAACCTCTGCCTCCTGGGTTCAAGCAATTCTCCTGCTTCAGCCGCCGAGTAGCTGGGATTACAGGCGTGTGCCACCATGCCCAGTTAATTTTTATTTGTATTTTTACTAGAGATGAGGTTTCGCTATGTTGGCCAGACTGATCTCAAACTCTGGACCTTGTGATCCGCCCACCTCAGCCTCCCAAAGTGCTGGGATTATAGGCGTGAGCCACCGCGCCTGGCCTAAATTTTTAACTTTTTAAATTGTCTTTAGATATGAGGTCTTGCTCTGTCACCTAGGATGGAGTGCAGTGGCTTGGTTATAGCTCACTGCAGACTCAAACTCCCGGACTCAAATAACCCTCCTACCTCAGCTTTCTGAGTACCTAGGACCACAATAGTGAGTTTTTAAACTTTTTTATACAAACAGGGTCTTGCTATGTAGCTTAGGCTGTTCTCGAACTCCCAGGATCAAATGATCCTTCTTTCTTGGCCTCCCAAAGTGCTGGGATTATAGGCTTGAGCCACCATGCCTTGCCTTGAGTACAGGATTTTTTTTTTTTTTTTATATGGAGTCTCACTGTCACCCAGGCTAGAGGCAGTGGCACAATCTTGTGTCACTGTCACCTCCACCTCCCAGGTTCAAGTGATTCTTCCGCCTCAGCCTCCTGAGTACGTGGGACTATAGGCACCCACCACCATGCCCGGCTAATTTTTTGTATTTTTAGTAGTGATGGGGTTTCACTGTGTTAGCCAGGATGGTATTGATCTCCTGACCTCATGATCCGCCCTCCTCGGCCTCCCAAAGTGCTGAGATTACAGGTGTGAGCCACCGCGCCCGGCCGAGTACAGAAGTTCTTTATGGGGTGATGAAAATGTTCTGAAATTGGTTGTGGTGGTAGTTGTACACTAAAGGGTAAACTTTAAATGGGTAAATTGTGTGTGAATGATGTCTCAGTAAAGCTGGCTTATTTATTTATTTATTTATTTATTATTATTATTTTTTAACTTTTTTTATTTCAACAGAAGATTCCCAAAGTAAGCTGGTTTATTTAAAACAATAACAGGCCGGGCGTAATCCCAGCACTTTGGGAGGCCAAGGTGGGTGGATCACCTCAGGTCAGGAGTTCAAGACCAGCCTGGCCAACATAGTAAAACCCCATCTCTACTAAAAATCCAAAAAATTAGCCAGGCATGGTGGCAGGTACCTGCAATCTCAGCTACTTTGGAGGCTGAGGCAGGAGAATCTCTTGAACCCAGGAGGCGGAGGTTGCGGTAAGCTGAGATTGTGCTACTGCTCTCCAGCCTGGCCCCCAAGAGTGAAACTCCATCTCAAAAACAACAAAAAACAGGCCAGGTATGGTGGCTCACATTTGTAATCCCAGCCCTTTGGGAGGCCAAGGCAGGAGGATCACTGGAACCCAGGAGTTTCAGACCACCCAGGGCAACATAGCAAGACCCCATCTTTACAAAAAATAAAAAATTAACTGGGCATGGTGGCATGACTCTGTAGTCCCAGCTACTCGGGAGGCTGAGGCAGGAGGATCATTTGAGCTCAGGAAATCGAGGCAGCAGTGAACTGTGATCGTGCCATTGCACTCCAGCATCAGCAACAGAAGGAGACTTGGCTTTAAAAACAAAACCAAAACAAAACAGCAAGAAAAGAGGAGCATCTTCTCAAAAACTGGGTTTTAAAAAAAAAAAAGAAAAATTTTTTTTTTTTTTTTTTTTTTTGAGACGGAGTTTCACGCATGTTATCCAGGCTGGAGTGCAATGGCGCGATCTCGGCTCACCGCAACCTCCGCCTCCTGGGTTCAGGCAATTCTCCTGCCTCAGCTTCCTGAGTAGCTGGGATTACAGGCACGCACCACCATGCCCAGCTAATTTTTTGTATTTTTTTTTTGTTTGTTTGTTTGTTTTTTTTTGAGACGGAGTTTCACTCTTGTTACTCAGGCTGGAGTGCAATGGCGCGATCTCGGCTCACCGCAACCTCCACCTCCTGGGTTCAGGCAATTCTCCTGCCTCAGCCTCCTGAGTAGCTGGGATTACAGGCACGCACCACCATGCCCAGCTAATTTTTCTATTTTTAGTAGAGACGGGGTTTCACCATGTTGACCAGGATGGTCTCGATCTCTTGACCTCGTGATCCACCTGCCTCGGCCTCCCAAAGTGCTGGGATTACAGGCTTGAGCCACCGCGCCTGGCCAAAGAAAAATTTTTTTACAAAAAGAAAACAGGAGCATCACTTGCAGCACCTCTGCCTCTGCCCTGCCTACTTGAATGAGGGGCAGGGCGTCTCACCTGCTTGGAGCAGCTCTTTATGAGCTTCTGGGGTCTTCAAGCAAAACCTCCCATGGCCAAGTCATACCTGACACAGGCGTCCTCCCCTGTTCCGGCCCCACCTCAGAGATGCTGAGTGACAGAGGCTCAGACCTCGGTTGTTCCTGGCAAAGCCTCACCCCAGGAGGCCCCGCAGCTTAGGCCCAGCGCGTGGTTCATACGGCCCCACTTCTGGCCTCTTTTTCCCTTGAGAGCGATTTGTCCCTGGGAGATCCTGGATCCCTCATTCAGGTGCAGTGCTGCAGAGCAACACTCCTTCCCAGGGGTGACCCAGGCCTGCAGGGTCCCAGTGTCACTGGCAGGCCTTGCCCCAGCCTCCACCCGAGCCCCTGCTCCTCTTTTCCCACAGGGAATGTGATGTCCTCTTCCCAGGGTACACCCACCTGCAGAGGGCCCAACCCATCCGCTGGAGCCACTGGATTCTGAGGTGAGCCGGGCGAGGTGCTGGGGCCATGCTGGAGGGGAGGACCCAGCTGCCCTGACCCTCCTGCCCCTGGCTTCCCACAGCCATGCCGTGGCGCTGACCCGAGACTCTGAGCGGTTGCTGGAGGTGCGGAAGCGGATTGATGTCCTGCCCCTGGGGAGGTGGGTGAGGCTCCAGTGCCCCGAGGGCCTTGTGGGGGTGGCTGCTGCATAGCCTTAGGGATTGACAGATGAGCTGAGAAGGGCAGAGTGTGAGAGAAAGCCGGGTTATCCGCTCAGAGGCGGACCCTGCATGGAGCCCCAGCTCTCACCAAGGTGGGGACGACCAAGCCAGTGAATGTGTCTGAGCAGGGCCGGAGCTCTCCAGCGAGGCTCCTGGCGAGCCCAGCCTGCTGCCCTCAGCCTGACATATGGGTACCTGTGTCCAGAGACAAGTGTCCTGCACTGAAGGTGCCTTGGTGCTTGGGGATAAGTGGTCTGGGGACACTTGGGGACAAATGTTGTGCACCCAAGGCAACTGGGCCAGGAAAGGGGCTGAGCTCCAGGCAGTTGCCCTGGCAACGAGGACTTGGTTCTGTGTGTGTGTGTGTGTCTTTCTGTCTGTTTGGGCTGCCTTCCAGGAGCCCTGGTCACCATGAATCCCTGTCCCTGCAGTGGGGCCATTGCAGGCAATCCCCTGGGTGTGGACCGAGAGCTGCTCCGAGCAGGTGAGATGCCCTGCTCCTCCTCCCCAGGGAGAGTCACCCTCAGCTCCTGCCAGGAGCTGCAGACACACCTGAGACCAGAGGGCAGGGGCCTGTGGCTTCTGGTGTAACCTTCATTCATTGCCTATGGGCACTGAGCTCATCCAGGCCAGGGTTCACCCATGGCAGGGGCGCTTGGTACTGAGAGACTCAGGGCTCCTGCCTCCCTCCTGGGTCTGTGCAAAAGATCCCTCCCGCCAGCTCCCACCCGATGCACCTGATCCTCTTCCCTGATCATCTTTCCAGGGGGAGGGGGCTGGGCAACCTGGTTGGGGGAGAGGAGGCCATTCCCTGTGCTCCAGCCCAGCCCTGCTTCTTCCCACCCCCAAGAACTCAGCTTCAGGGCCATCACTCTCAACAGCATGGATGCCACCAGTGAGCGTGACTTCGTGGGTGAGTCTTGGGGAGCCAGTCCCTTGCCCTGTGCCTCACTTTTGCCCCCCAGCCCGGTTTCTCTCTAGTCTCCTCCCACCCCCTGTATGGTCAGTCTGGTTGTGGTGATGAATGTACACTAAAGTGTAAACTTTAAATGGGTAAATTGGGCGGGGCATGCTGGCTCACACCTGTGCTCCCAGCACTGGCCAACTAAAAATACAAGAATACAAACTTTAGCTGGGTGTGGTGGTGGGCACCTGTAATGCCAGCTGCTCAGGAGGCTGAAGCAGGAGAATCACTTGGACCTGGGAGACTAAGACTGCAGTGAGCTGAGATCTCACCAGTACACTCTAGCCTGGGGAACAAGAGCGAAACTCCATCTCAGAAAATGAAATAAAATTAAAAAAAATAAATTAATGGGTAAATTATATGTGAATGGTATCTCAGTAAAGCTGGTTTATTGAAAACAGTAACAATAACAATAACACAAACAGGCTAGGTTCAGGGGCTCACATTTGTAATCCCAGAACTTTGGGAGGCCAAAGCAGGAAGATTGCTTGAGCCTAGGAGTTTCAGACCAGATCATTGCAACATAGCAAGACCCCATCTTTACAAAAAATGAAAATTTAGGTCGGGCATAGTGGCTCACACCTCTAATCCCAGCAATTTGGGAGGCCGAGGCGGGCAGACTGCAAGGTCAGGAGAATGAGACCATCCTGGCCCAACATGGTGAAACCCTGTCTCTACTAAAAAACACACAATTTGGGCCAGGCGCGGTGGCTCAAGCCTGTAATCCCAGCACTTTGGGAGGCCGAGGCGGGTGGATCACGAGGTCAAGAGATCGAGACCATCCTGGTCAACATGGTGAAACCCTGTCTCTACTAAAAATACAAAAAATTAGCTGGGCATGGTGGCACGTGCCTGTAATCCCAGCTACTCAGGAGGCTGAGGCAGGAGAATTGCCTGAACCCAGGAGGCGGAGGTTGTGGTGAGCCGAGATCGTGCCATTGCACTCCAGCCTGGGTAACAAGAGCAAAACTCCGTCTCAAAAACAAAACAAAACAAAACAAAACAAAAAAAACACACAAAATTTGGCCGGGCGTGGTGCAGAGCGCCTATAGTCCCAGCTACTCTGGAGGCTGAGGCAGGAGAATCACTTGAACCTAGGAAGTGGAGGTTGCAGTGAGCCAAGATCCACCGCAGCACTCCAGCCTGGTGACAGAGTGAGACTCCGTCTCAATCAAAAAAAAAAAAAAAAAATTTTAGCCAGGTCCCCCCCCCCCTAACCCCCCCCTACCCCTGTGTGGTCCAGCTGGGCGGGGCCGGGGGGGGCCTGGTGACTGGGAACATTTTCTCCCTCCCAGCTGAGTTCTTGTTCTGGGCTTCGCTGTGTATGACACATCTCAGCAGGATGGCCGAGGACCTCATCCTCTATGGCACCAAGGAATTCAGCTTCGTGCAGCTCTCGGATGCCTACAGGTAAGCCCAGGGCCGTCACCTCCACCTGCCCCTACTGGCCTCTGTGTTCCCCACCCTCCGTGGACGTGGCTTCCTTTCTCCCTGCCCCACCCCTCCACTGACCTGGCCAGTGCGCTACTGGACCAGCCAAGGGTCCAGCCCCTTCAGTGCCTGTACCTCTGTCCCCAGCACCGGAAGCAGCCTGATGCCCCAGAAGAAAAACCCTGACAGCTTGGAGCTGATCCGGAGCAAGGCGGGGCGTGTGTTTGGGCGGGTGAGCAGGGCAGGGAGAGGGGTGGGGCTGATGGGAGTGACCGGGCCAGGATTCCGGGTCCAACCTCTGTGCCTCCCTCTTCCCGCAGTGTGCCGGGCTCCTGATGACCCTCAAGGGACTTCCCAGCACCTACAACAAAGACCTACAGGTGTGAGGCTGGGGACAGTGGCCTGGGCAGGCCCGCCCGCCTACACACCACGTGCCAGTTCTCGGGACTCTGGCACACCCAGGCAGGGCCCCCGGGATGGCCATACATCCTCCCATCCTGTGCACTCAGCCCCATCCGTGGCTGCCCTTGGAGCTCTCTGCCCTTCTTTTGTTGGGGTACTGAGGGTTCTTCCCATGGAAGGCAGCGGGGATGCCTCAGTGGGGGGCAGGGCTGTGGGGATCCTGGGTGCTGGGGGGCTGCTAGGTCCTCACCTCCTGCCATGTGCCTCCCAGGAGGACAAGGAAGCTGTGTTTGAAGTGTCAGACACCATGAGTGCCGTGCTCCAGGTGGCCACTGGCGTCATCTCTACGCTGCAGGCAAGACCATACCCACTTGCCTCTCCTCCCCTAGGTCCCAAGCACGGGGGTGGGCATTCCAGAGGGTGGCATTGTGAGGAGGGAGGAGGGGCAGGGAAGGATAGGTGTGCTCACTCCTGCTCCTGGGGAACAGGGAAGAGACTGTTGTCACCCAATGGAAGCAGATGAGACTCAAGGGGCCTGAGGCCTGTCAACTGGCCTGACCAAAATCCTTTGTAAAAAAGGGAAAATTTATATAGAGGGCAGGCACAGTAGTTCATGCCTAGAATCCCACACTTTGGGAGGCTGAGGCAGGTGGATCACTTGAGTTCAGGGGTTTGAAACCAGCCTGGCCAACATGGTGAAACCCCATCTCTACTAAAGATACAAAAATTAGCTGGCTATGGTGGAAAGCACCTGAGTCCCAGCTACTCCAGAGGCTGAGGCAGGAGAATCACTTGAACACAGGAGATGGAGGTTGCAGTGAGCTGAAATCATGCCATTGCTCTCCAGCCTGGATGACAGAATGAAACTCTGTATCCAAATATATAAATAAATTAAATATCTAAAAAAATTATTTTTTAGAGACAGAGTTTCTGTCACGCAGGCTGGAGTGCGGTGGTGCACTTGTAGCTGACTGCAGCCTCAAACTCCTGGGCTCAAGTGATCCTCCCACCTCAGTCTCTGGAGTAGCTGGGACCACAGGAGTGTGCCACCACGCCTGACTAATTTTTTAATTTTTTTTTTTTTTTTTTTGAGACGGAGTTTCACTCATGTTACCCAGGCTGGAGTGCAATGGCGCCATCTCGGCTCACCGCAACCTCCGCCTCCTGGGTTCAGGCAATTTTCCTGCCTCAGCCTCCTGAGTAGCTGGGATTACAGGCACGCACCACCATGCCCAGCTAATTTTTTGTATTTTTAGTAGAGACGGGGTTTCACCATGTTGACCAGGATGGTCTCGATCTCTTGACCTCGTGATCCACCCGCCTCGGCCTCCCAAAGTGCTGGGATTACAGGCTTGAGCCACCGCGCCCGGCCTAATTTTTAAATTTTTTGTAGCAACAGGGTCTCCTTATGTTGCTCAGGCTGGTCTCAAACACTTGGCCCCAAGCCATTTTTCTACCTTCGTCTCCCAAAGTTTGGGGATTACAGGCATGAGCCTCTTTGCCTGGCTAATTTCTTTTAAAATCAATTCTTATGGGAAATTTCTGTATCTAACAGCTAAAAAACACATAGTAAGTCCTATGTACTGACACCCAGCTTCAACAATAATCAACTCACGGACATTCTGGGTCCAACTGCCTTTACCCACAGCCTTCCCCCACTCCTTCACCCTCTTACTTCGAAGTAAATTCCCATCATCACATCATTTCATTCCTAAATAGTTCAGAATGTGTCTTAAAATCAGTGTTTCTTGGCTGGGCATGGAGGCTCACACCTGTAATCCCAGCACTTTAGGAGGCTAAGGTGGGCAGATCACTTGAGGTCAGGAGTTTGAGACCAGCCTGGCCAACATGGTGAAACCCAGTCTCTACTAAAAATATAAAAATTAGCTGGGTGTGGTGGCACGTGCCTGTAATCCCAGGTACTGGGTGGGTGAGGCAGGAGAATCGCTTGAACCCGGTAGATGGAGATTGCAGTGAGCAGAGATCATGCCATTGCACTCCAGCCTGTGTAACAGAGCAAGACTCCATCTCAAAAAAGAAAAAAATGTTTCTTGAAGCTAGTACCCCAACTAGCAGCAGCAGCATCACCTCAGAACTCCTGAGAAATGCAGTGTGAGGCCTCACTCCAGATGGCCGAATCAGAAACTCTGGGGGTAGTCCCCAGCAATTTGTATTTTTAATAAATTCTCCAGTGGCTAGGCCTGGTGGCCCATACCTGTAATCCCAGCACTTTGAGAGGCTGAGGCAGGAGCATTGCTTGAGCCCAGGAGTTCAAAACCAGTCTGAGCAACACAGCGAAACCCTGTTTCTAAAATTTAAAAAATTAAATTATCCAGTTGAGATGGCATGTATCTGTGGTCCCAGCCACTCAGGAGACTGATGTGGGAGGATCCCTTGAGCCCAGGAGATCAGGAATGCAGAGAGCCATGATTGCGGCACTGCACTCCAGCCTGGGCAGCAGAGCAAGACCCTGTCTCTAAAAAAGAAAACAAATCCTCCAGGAACTTCTGATGCATGCTAAAGATAAGGACACTTTGAAACCATAAAGGCCAGTAAAATACACAGGCCAGTAAATGGTAATAGCACACATAAATACTACTGATAATTCTGAGAAGATGGTTCAAGCTGAGGGTGACAGAGCTGAGTGGTAAGAGGGGAACTGCCCAAGGCAGGGACATCCTGGCAGAGGGGCAGGTCCTGGGCCTGCAGCTTCAGACCCCAGGTCCCCAGGGCTCACCACTTCCCACCTGTACCCCCAGATTCACCGAGAGAACATGGGACAGGCTCTCAGCCCCGACATGCTGGCCACTGACCTCGCCTATTACCTGGTCCGCAAAGGAGTGAGTGTGTAGCAGTGAGTGGGAGGGGGAGGAGATGGGGTGCCCCCCAGAGGGTAGGGGGACTCAGGAAGGGGCACAGGCAGCCCAGTCTTGTGGCTCACACATGTAATCCCAGCATTTTGGGAGGCCAAGGTGGGCGGGTCTCTTGAGGCCAGGAGTTCAAAACCAGCCTGGTCAATATAGTGAAACCCTGTCTCTGCTAAAAATACAATAATTAACCGGATGTGGTGGCACATTCCTGTAATCCCAGCTACTCAGAAAGCTGAGGCAGGAGAATTTCTTGAAGCTGGCAGGCGGATGTTGCAGTGAGGTGAGATTGAGTCACTGCACTTCAACCTGGGCGGCAGAACGAGACTTTGTACCCCCCCCAAAAAAAGGGAGGGGTACAGGCAATGGAGGCAGATCAGGGCATGGAGGAAGCTGCCTCAGGGCTACCTTCCTCCCCGCCACCCAGATGCCATTCCGCCAGGCCCACGAGGCCTCCGGGAAAGCTGTGTTCATGGCTGAGACCAAGGGGGTCGCCCTCAACCAGCTGTCGCTGCAGGAGCTGCAGACCATCAGGTGAGGCCCACCCCCTCCCCACGCTGCCTCCTAGTGGGTGAGCCTGGGTGCCTGGAGGCCGGGGTGGCCCGTGCCCTGGCCCAGCTCTCCCTCTCTCCGCAGCCCCCTGTTCTTGAGTGACGTGAACCATGTGTGGGACTACGGGCACAGTGTGGAGCAGTATGGTGCCCTGGGCGGCACTGCGCGCTCCAGCGTCGACTGGCAGATCCGCCAGGTGCGGGCGCTACTGCGGGCACAGCAGGCCTAGGTCCTTCTGCGCCTGCTCCCAAATAAAGTGAGCATGAGAGGACGCTGTTGTGTGTTTCCTGCCCCAGCCTGGCGCCCTCAAAGCTGAGCTTTCCAGGACTGGCCAGTGGGCATGACGAGGGACTGGAAAGGCAGGACGGGATGGCCTGTAATCCCAGCACTTTGGAAGGGCAAGGTGCAAGGATGCTTGAGGCCAGGAGATCGAGATCAGCCTGGGCAACACAGGGAGACCCCGTCTTTATCCAGTAATAAAACAAATAATTAGCCTGGTGTGGCGGTGCATGCGTATAGTCCCAGATACTTGTCAGGCTGAGGCAAGAGGATCACTTGCGCCCAGGGGTGGAGGCTGCGGTGAGCTATGATCACGCCACTGCATTCTAGCCTGGACAACAGAGTGAGACCCTGTCTCTCAAAAAACAAATGGAAGCGGAGAAAACTGGGCAAGGGCAGTGGGAGTCATAGATGGGAAGGGAAGAGGGGGCTCCCATCACAGCCTCTGCCCTGTCCGGGGCCCATCCCCTTCAAACAGGGTGTCAAAGTGACCTCCTCGGCCAGGAGTAGTGGCTCACGCCTGTAATCCCAGCACATAGCAAGGATTATGGGCAACATAGCAATTTCCCAGCTACCACATTAAAAAAATAAAACTAGCCAAGCAGGACACATTGGCTCACAGCTGAAATCCCAGCACTCTAGGAGTGTGAGGCTGGTGGATCACTTGAGGCCAGGAGTTGGAGACCAGCCAGGCCAACATGGTGGAATCCCATCTCTTAAAAATACAAAAAGTAGCTGGGCGTAGTGGTGCATGCCTGTAATCCCAGCTACTTGGGAAGTTGAGGCAGGAGAATTGCTTGAACCTGGGAAGCGGAAGTTGCAGTGAGCCAAGACCACACTACTGCACTCCAGCCTGGGCCACAGAGTGGGACTCTGTCTAAAAAACAAGAAAAAGAAATAGCCGGTTGTGGTGGTGTATGCCTATAGTCCCAGCTACTTGGAAGGCTGAGGCGGGAGGCTCCAGTGAGCTGTGACTGCACCACTTTACTCCAGCCTGAGTAACAGAACAAGACCCTGTCCCTAAAAGAAACAAGAAATGTCTGAAACTTACGTTTTATTAACAAAGATAAACAACCGAAACTCAAGGAAGAATGAATAACACCTGCCAAGTGATTTTGAGAGTACTGACAGGTTTTGTTTACTAAAGAAACAAGGCTGGGTGCCGTGGCTCCTGCCTGTAATCCCAGTACTTGGGGGGTCGGGACAGGCGGATCACCTGAGGCAAGGAGTTGGAGACCAGCCTGGCCAACATGGTGAGACCCTGTCTCCACTGAAAATACAAAGAATTAGCCAGGCATGGTGGCACATGCCTGTAATCCCAGATACTTGGGAGGCTGAGGTAGGAGAATCGCTTGAACCTGGGAGGCAGTGGGTAAGGTGAGCTGAAATTGCACCATTGTACTCCAGCCTGGGCAACAAGAGCCAAACTGTCTGATAGTAATAAGGCTGGCACAGTGTCTCGCGCCTGTTATCACAGCACTCTGGGAGGCGGAGATGGGTGGAACACCTGAGGTTAGGAGTTTGAGACCAGCCTGGCCAACATGGTGAAATCCTGTCTACTAAAAATACAAAAATTAGCTGGGCATGGTGGCAAGTGCCTGTAATCCCAGCTACACAGGAAGCTGAAGCAGGAGAATTGTTTGTACCCAAGAGGCAGAGGTTGCAGTGAGCCAGAATTGCATCATTGCACTCCAGCCTGGGTGACAAGAGCAAGACTCCAAATTAAAGAATAAAAATGAGCTGAGTGCGGTGGCTCACACCTATAATCTTAGCACTTTGGGAGGCTGAGGTGGGTGGATCACCTGAGGTCAGGAGTTCAAGACCAGCCTGGCCATCATGGTGAAACCCCATCTTAATAAAAAAATAAATAAAAATAAAAATGAGTCCGGGCATGGTGGCTCAGGTCTGTAATCCCAGCACTTTGGGAGGCCAAGGTGGGCCGATCATGAGGTCAGGTGATGGTGATGGAGAACAACCTGGCCAACATGGTGAAACCCTCTACTAAAAATACAAAAAAAAAAAAATTAGCTGGATGTGGCGGCACACACCTGTAGTCCCAGCTACTTGAGAGGCTGAGGCAGGAGAATTGCTTGAACCCAGGAGGTGGAGATTGCAGTGAGCCAAGATTGCGCCACTGCACTACAGCCTGGATGACAGTCTGAGACTCAATCTCAAAAAAAAAAAAAAAAAAAGAAGAAGAAGGAGGGAAGAGGAAAGGGGAGGAAGAGAAGGAGAAGGAGGAGAAAAAACAGCCAGAGAAGAACAGCCAGGTGTGGTGGCTCATGCCTGTAATCAGGAGAAGGAGGAGCACAAGGGGGAGGAACAGCCAGGCCAGGTGGCTCGCCTGTAATCCGAAAAGAAGGAAAAGAAGAGGAGGAGGAGAAACAGCCAGGCTTAGTGGCTCACACCTGTAATCCCAGGAGGAGGAAGAGGACGAACAGCCAGGCCAGAGAGCAAGACTCTGTCTCAACAAACAATAAACCAAAAAAACATATGTCTGGGTGTGGTGGCTCACGCCTGTAATCCCAGCACTTTGGGAGGCCAAGGTGGGCAGATCACCAGGTCAAGAGATCGAGACCATCCTGGCCAACATGGTGAAACCCTGTCTCTACTATAAATACAAAAAAAATTAGCTGGGTGTGGTGGTGTGCATCCCGGGAAGCTGAGGCAGGAGAATTGCTTGAATCCGGGAGGCAGAGGTTGTAGTGAGCCGAGATCTCGCCACTGCACTCGAGCCCGGTGCCTGGTGACAGCACGAGACTCTGTCTCCAAAAAAAAAAAAGAAATTCGAGATGAGGTTTCACCGTGGTGGTCAGGCTGGTCTTGAACTCCTCATCTCAGGTGATACACCTGCTTTGGCCTACCAAAGTGCTGGGATTTCAGGCCTGAGCCACTGCTGCCAGCCATTCTGGATGTTCTGAGCAGGCAAATTGGGTGGGAGATATGTAGCTTTTTTTTTTTTAATTTCTTTTGAGACAGAGTCCTACTCTGTTGCTTAGGCTGGAGTGTGGTGGCACTATTTCAGCTCGCTGCAACCTCCACCTCCTAGGTTCAAGAAATTCTCCTGCCTTAGCCTCCCGAATAGCTGGGATTACAGGTATGCATCGCCACGCCCAGCTAATTTTTTGTATTTTTAGTAGAGACAGGGTCTCACCAGGTGGCCAGTCTGGTCTTGAACCCCTGACTTCAGGTGTTCTGACTTCAGTTGAACCCCTGACCTCAGCCTCCCAAAGTGGTGGGATTAAAGGCATGAGCCACTGCACCTGGCATATGTAGCTTTTTTTTTTTTTTTTAATCTTTGTAGCTGTTTTATTTAGGAATAAAATATGAGGCAGCTTTGTTACTAGTGGAAGGTATCAGCGTTCCCTGCAGTCAATCTGTTTGGGTCTGCAGTGACCCCAATTCTTCCTTCCTCAGGAGAAAGCATGTAACTGAGGGGTATAAGGCAGAAAAAGAGACAGAGGTAAATTTCAGAGCAAGAGTGGAAGTTAGTTTCTTTATTTATTGAAAAAATCTTGGCCAGGTGTGGTGGCTCACGCCTGTAATCCCAGCACTTTGGGAGGCTGAGGTGGGTGGATCATGAGGTCAGGAGTTCAAGACCAGACTGGCCAACAGGGTGAAACCCCATCTCTACTAAAATATACAAAACTTAGCTGGGCATGATGGCTCGTGCCTGTAATCCCAGCTACTTGGGAGGCTGAGGTAGGAGAATTGCTTGAACATGGGAAGCGGAGGTTGTGGTGAGCTAAAATTGCACCACTGCATTCCAGCCTAGGCAACAAGAGCAAAACTCTGCCTCAAAAAAAAAAGTTTTTTTTGTTTCCCAGACTAGAATGCAGTGGCACCGTCTCAGCTCACTGCAACCTCCACCCCGTGGGTTCAAGTAATCCTACTGCCTCAGTCTCCCTAGTAGTTGGGACTACAGACGTGTAGCCACCAGGCCTGGCTAATTTTTGTATTTTTAGTAGAGACAGAGATTCACCATGTTGCTCAGGCTGGTCTTGAACTCCTGACCTCAAGTGATCCACCTGCCTCAGCCTCCTAAATGCTGGGATTACAGGCGTGAGCCATCATGCTCTGCCCTGGAGGGGAAGTTTATTTAAAAGGCTTTAGAATAGGAAAGAAAGGAAAGGAAAGGATGCTTGAAAGAGACCCAAGAGGGCATAGAGGTCAAGAGCGGTATTTAACCTTGATTCTGGGACTTTTAGGCTGGCCTCTTTCCCGTGATCCTTTCCTTAGGGTGGGCTCCCACAGCGGGCAGGTGAGCCCCTGCCGTATGTTTAGAAACTGTGTTATACACCCCCATTTTGTCTTTTTTTTGTTGTTTTTTGAGACAAAGTCTTGCTCTGTTGCCGACGCTGGAGAGCAGTGGTGTCATCTTTGTTCACTGCAACCTCCACCTCCCTAGTTCAAGCAGTTCTCTGCCTCAGCATCCGAGTAGCTGGGATTACAGGTGCCCGACACCACACCTGGCTAATTTTTGTATTTTTAGTAGAGACAGGGTTTCATCATCTTGGCCAGGCTGGTCTTGAACTCCAGACCTTGTGATCCACCTGCCCCGGCCTCCTAAAGTGCTGGGATTATAGGTGGGAGCCACTGTGCTCAGTCTTTTGCTGGATTGCGGTGGCAGAATCTCGGCTCACTGCAACCTCCACCTCCCAGGTTCAAGCAATTCACCTGCCTCAGCCTCCTGAGTAGCTGGGACTACAGGCGCACGCCACTACGCCCAGCTAATTTTTGTATTTTTAGTAGAGACGGGGTTTCACCATGTTGGCCAGGATGGTCTTGATCTCTTTGCCTTGTGATCCGCCCACCTCAGCCTCCCAACATGCTGGGATTACAGGCTTGAGGCACCGAGCCTAGCTATTGCGACATTTTACAAAACAATGTAGATAAACAAAAGGTTAATCTATCATCAGAGGAACAAAGATTACAGCTGCCTAGGTTACAGAGTTCTGCCCTGTGACTTAAGTCCCACAGTCTCATTCCTTTGAATCTCCAAATAATTTAAATTTCCAACAGCTCTGACTTTGAATTACTGATTTTTTACTTTTTACTTTTTTTTTCTTTTGAGATGGAGTTTTGCTCTTGTTGCCCAGGCTGGAGTGCAATGGTGGGATCTTGGCTCACCGCAACCTCTACCTCCCAGGTTCAAGTGATTCTCCTGCCTCAGCCTCCCTAGCAGCTAAGATTACAGGCACCTGCCACCACGCCAGGCTA